TGACAGCTCAGCAAGTATTTACACAAAGCTCTGAAACATTTGGTTCCTTCAGAAGAGGAAGGAGCTGCTGTGTCAAGCAGAGAATTATCAAACACCTTTTCCTCTCCCTTTTTTCCTCTTTTATAAAGGGAAGCTTCTTCCTTCTAGCATACCTCTAAGATGCCTAAATTATACTTCTAAACTATCCAGCCAGGAGGAGAAAGAATGGAAATTCAGGTGTGCTGGAGAAGGGAAAGAATAGCGTTTCCAGGACCACTTGCAAAACACACCACATAGTTTAAAAAACTAAGGGTATGAGAAAAGGCAACAGGCCTATGAAATTGACCCTGCAATGCTTAGCTTTTCCGTTCCAGTCTCAGGAACTTTTGCTCCTCTCTCAGCAAAACTTACAGGGCAAGTTCAGGCACTCAGATTACAACCAACTGCCCAAACCAGACCTAGACCTGCCCAAACACCTGAAGAGTCTGGAGAACTTAATGCTACCTCTCCCCACCTTCCTATCCCCCCAAGAGAAGCAGAGTGTTAATGTTATGACTATCCACTCCCTACCCCACCCCAAATCTACTCCCAAAATCCCCTCTTAGAGATTTTGAGGCAACTATTTTTCAAGACTTGCTTTAATCAAGTCTGCCCAATTTTTCAATTAATGTTTAGTGTTTTAAAACCACCAGCCAGGTGGAATGACTAATGACAAACATAAACAGTTTCAAAACAAAATAGTCTGGTAAGGCTTTTTCTGTAAAGGGCCACAGACCATTGTGGTACCCAACTGTTCAGAGCTTGTTCCTGTAAACCCTCAAGAGAAAACAGCCTTGAGTTCCTCGAGCCCAAGGGAAGAAAGATGGTCTCAAGACCCCTACTGGTCAATGTACAGGCAGAAATTGCCTTCATAACAAGTTAGGTGTGGAAGCACAGCCCAATGCGTAGCATCACAGAGGAAGAAGGCCATACAGTCCACCAACTTCACTTTACTGATGAAGAGAAAATAAACCCAAGGTCAGTGGCTTGCCCCAAATCACACAGCTTAATCTAGATCTGCATGTGGAACCAAAGCCTCTTCCTCCTGAATCCTGCACTCTTTACTCCTCACCACTGTGTCACACACAACTCAGTGTGCATCAATAATGATAATGACCAATCTAAACAAGGAGAAACCCAGACATAAAAGCCATGGGAATTAGGACTCCATGTTAGAGACCAAGGTATCCCAGCTCACTTGCATGAAAGAACTATTCGGTGCCAATTTATTTTGAATACCGTATTTTAACCATATATTTGCTTGGTTCATTTCAGTTGCTTCTAGAATTTTGGGATTTGAAGCCAATCAATACAACGGCAGAGGGGCGGGGGGGAGGATTGGAAAGGGTCCTGACCATTACTTTGTTAGCCTATTTCCACATTAGAAAAAAAGTCCACTAACCTCATTGCTAAAGCCTGCTGCAGACATCACACCCTACAGGAGCCAATCCAACAGATGAATGTTTAATGCAATCCAAGACATCTTATTACAGTAGGTGCCACTTGTCATGGTTACTGGTTGCTCTGTGTCACACACAAAGGAAGGAACCTTAAAAAGTCCTTGCAGGGCCCAATACAAAGAAGCCAACCTTGGTCCTGATGCTTTCTCTTCTCTTGCAACCATCCCAACCCCCATCACCCCTAGTTCCCTCACGGACAGTAGAGAAACATGAAGCCCTCACAATGAAGTGCCGTCTCAGTGTGGTTTTCCTGGTCCCTCCTACTTGAGAGAGTTCCAAGAGTCCTGTATTTTAGCCAGCCCAGAATTTCTGCCAGTAGGCATTCCCATAATAAGCCCAAGATGCCTGTATTTGTTTCCCAGGAGTTAGAAATATCGTCTGATATTTCCATAGCAAGAACTAACAGCCAAACTTCTACAATCAAATCCATCTTGATCCCAGACTACATATTCTGTTTCATTTTTTACTTTGATGAGCTGGTACTACTCTCAAGGTACTAGAGCTAAAAGCATCCCCAATAAAACACTTTACACGAGGTTCAAGTGCATAGGTGACTAAAAAGTATCTCATCAGTAGCAGGATTCAACACCTTGAGATACAGTATTACTTATGGAAAGCCCTAAAGGGAAAGTTTGCCTGCTGGGATCTTCCGGCTCCTGTGAAAAAGACAGAGCCACAATACAAACACTCAGCTAATCTTTATTTCATAAAGGCAGAGTCAAATGAGAACGTTACAACCTTAGCTATGTCAATCAATTCTCTGCAAAACAGTCTTAATCCAAGATTCAGTTAAGGAAAGAAAGGGACAGAGCAAGACCCCATTATTTAAGAATGCTTAAGAATAAGGCATCATGGTCTGATAAGAGGTTTATCCTTTAAGTAGCAAAGAGAAATTCCTATCAAAATCTACCCACCTACATCCCTCATAGAGACTACCACAAAACTGGAAGTTGCACTGTCTCTTCCACAAGTGAATGCTCACTAGCCCATTCTCTGGGCATCAGGGCAACTGGAATGAAATTGAACAGGAATCTATGTTGTATGAAGTGCTAGGAATGGTGATGTTAAAAGTGAAACCGAAAATTCACCCAAGGGCAGCACAAACTTCCAAACAGGGACTGTATCTACTTTCCTACCATTTACTCAGCACACAGCATAGTACTCAGCACAAAGGAAGTGCTCAAATATTCGTTTAATGACTGAAAATCACTATATGGCAAGAGTTGGTTTTATACCCCCCAAAAACAAAGTGTTTGCCTGAATATTATTTTTCAACTTTAATTTTTGCTTTTAAATGAACCTTGACTTAGCCCAAATTTACTCCTCTAATAGTTTACAAAAGGTAAATGACTCAGCCCCCCTCCCCTCAAGGGAAAAGAGATGTAGCATGTCTCTTGTCCAAAGACAAGAGAATGTTCTCTTTGCTAAGACTAAGCTCATCCTCTAGACACTAGAGATTCAATTTAAAATTCTCCCAGTTTCTTGCCCAAACACAGAACACTATGGACAATGTGGAGTCAAGGCACTGCACTCTAAACCTGCCATTTAACACAACTGTTTTCAAAATTCCTACCTTAATAGAAGAGAAAAGCAGTTCTAGAATGAGGAAGGAACACAACTCATCAGTGAACAAAATCTCATAGCAGGAAGGTACAACTGAATACTGCTGGGGCAGGGGGCGGGGGGCATGAAAGGAGCTTTCCCCCTCTTTGAAAAGATACAGGACTCCTGACAAAAGCACTGAAGGCAGAACATGAAGAGGTACGAAGAGCAAAATTAAAATAAAACAGAATGCATAAAAATGTACCTTAAAGTTGTCATTTCTAAGCAAATATCAAGTATCATTATAGGTGGTATCTTTATTATCTTGGAAGATGGGGGGGAAATGGAACATACCTTAAAATGCAAAGAAAAAAACAGTCGACCTCTATTTCAAAGCTCTAAAATAACAGATGACAAAATACAAAACTAGCCTTTTTGATATCTCAGGAACAAATGATAAATTTCACCAAACCAGGCCTTTAGGAGAAAGTCCCTCACAAGATCATGAAAGACATCGGCTTCTCTTTAAATTGAGCTGCTCTCCCAAAGTTCAATTAACAAAAGAAAGTGTTAACCAGACTCAACATGTAAACAAAGAATGAGGCCAGTCGTCCTTAAAACAGAACACTTGAACCTAATATGAAATTCTCTCTCAGAAAGCTTCCAGTTCTCAAAATAAATAAATAAAAGTTTTCCTCCTACCCCCTCCCATAAAGATCCCACATTTGTCACTCGATAAAAACCCCAGTAAAATAATTTCAATTCTGCAAAGCGAACAGGGTCAAAATTACTCAAGACAAATGCATCTTCAGAGCCATCAAAGAAGTCATTTATACCATCAGGAAAGTCACAAAACCAAAACAAACAGCAAACCCATTGTAGAGAAAAACTCAGCTACTGTTCTGACAACACAGAATCTATTTCAGGCTGCATAAAACATAACAAGCAAAATAAATCCAAGGTACAAGCAAAATGCCACTGCCTCCTCTTTTGTTTCGGCACAATGTAACAAGGGCAGCCTGTCTGGGACTCTGCTCCTGCTGATACAGTATTGCTGCTTAAACCTCCCTCCTCAAGGTCACAGCCAATTTCAGCTCTGGAATAAAAGGCAGATAGTGGCAGCGATGGTTTGGGTTATCTCTGGCAGAAAAGCAGAGTGTAAAAGTTTATGAGCTCATCAGGATTGTTGTACCATTACATCAGAGGCAATTATAAATGGCCAAGAGCAGGAGATGGGGAGCCAATCAGATCACAGATAGGATGTCAACCTAAGACCAACTGTCTCCTGGCTTTGACAGAAGGATTTTACCTCCATAATTCAAATCCCAAACCAAAGCAATCTGCACTTACTACTCCAATCACTCAGCTGTTTACCAGCACTTCCAGGGAGAAGCCCAGGCCACTGGGCCGACGGAGACTAAGACAGGAGATGGCCCAGGCTGCCCTGGGTGAACCGCAGCCGGCCTCTAGCTGCCCCCAAGCAGGCCCCTGCCCTCCCTCGAGGTACCCCCGAACCCGAGGGGCCCCTCCTTGAACGCACAGATGGGGAACGGCCTAGAGAAAGACAGGAGGGCGGGCAGAGAGGAGCGGCAGGTGAGCAAAGAATTGTTCACTCCACTCCCGAGCTCCTAACACCGCACACCCCTAACCTGAGCCCCCAGCACCCCCCTCAACCCCGGCCAGGCCCTTCCCCGCACATTCTGCCCCACACCCCCTTGAAGACCCCCGGAGTTCGAGGGGACCAGGAGGGAGGGAGAAGGGGAGCAAACACCTCAGGGAAAGCCCCACACAAAGGCTGAAGGAGGGAAGGAGAGGAAGGCAGACAGGCAGCCATTTTAAGAGAAGAGCCAGACAATGGCAGCTCCCCAGCAGTGGGGGCCCCGGACTGGGGGTATCCCAAGGCTGTGGCCTGCTCCCCGCAGCCGCCACCCACTCCCAGGACCCCGCTCGCCCCAGGCCCCTCCCCACTCAGCTGTGTACCTGCGGGGTCCGGGCGAGCGGCTGCCCCCCGCCGCCGCTGCTCCCGGGGCTCATGGGCGCGTGGTGGCTCCTTTGTTGGGCCCCTCCCGAGGCGGCTGCTGCCGCCGCCGCTGCTGCCGCCGCAGCCCCCCAGCACTGCGAGGCCATGTCCGCCGGGCCCTTGCCGGCGCCCCCGTCCTGGGGCCCGCCGCCGTAGTCGCCCCCGGGGTAGCCCTGGTAGCCCCGGGCCGAGCTGGGCGACGTGAGCAGTTGGTTGAGGGTGGGGGTGGCGGTGGGCTGGGGGGTTCCCCCGCCGGCCGCTGAGGGGCCGCCTCCCCCCATGGCCCCGAAGCGCTGCTGAGCGAAGGACGAAGACGACGAGGAGGCGGAGGCGCTGGAGGAGGGAGGCGGCTTGGAGCCTGCGGCCGCCGCCGCGCCGGAGCCCGGAGTGCCAC